CATTACTCTGACTCGGACCACAAGCCCTGATTTATTCTGACCTACATGTGTACCGTGTGAAGTAGCGCGAGAGCCAAGCTGGTCGTAATAATACGTGTAACAGCCACGAACGTAATTCAACCAAAGAAGACTACCACATTACATGAGCATGAACACTTGCATTCCATTTAATACATTCCTATGTTGTAGATGTCAGGCACTGTAGTGTTCACGTCTACATACACATTGTGGCATTCCTTGGCCACCCAGACATTCATGATAGAAGCGCATCGTGTTATGTTATGCATGCAGCATGTGCCGTTTCCCGAGCGCGCGTGTGAAATGAACTTAGCGGCTTTTAGTTGCTGTGCATGAGTTGAGTCTGAACTCATGATCTGGTGTGTACATGCAATCATGTGATCTTGTAGTTGAGCGTATGTGTTATTTGGATTTCCTTGGTCATGACCAAACAACAAAACATAATCAAATTATTTCTACACATCCAACAATGCCAAGAACTCACCTGGTCCCCAAGTAGCTCATTATCTTCTTTTTCAGCATGAAAGTTGGATACTAAGGCGGAGTGTGATGGTCGGCCAAGCTGGTGCCGTTTGCAGTTATTGTACTTATCCGTGAGAAGCTTCATGGGCAAGGCCCTTGCAGACTTCAACTCGGACAGTATATACAGCACCAGGCTGTCAAATGTTTCGTAGGCCGACGGCTGGTCACTCCCTTTGCCACTTCGTTGCCGGTGCATAGTGGCCAGGTGGGTGAAGGCACTGTAGCATGCTCCGACGTTGATAGTGGATTTCCGCTGCAACGCAATCTGGGCCATTCTGGAGCGAAAGCCAAAAATCTTGCGTTGTTCTCCAACTCTGCTAGATGCACATGTCATGAGGCACAAGTCTGCAGATGTGGATTCAATCATTGTACATCTCTCCTTGTTCTACGCTTTGCTGGTACATGGTGTCCCATCATCACATACATGTATCTCCTCCAATTCAGAATGGCTTGAAAAGTCATGGCCACGTCCAAGTGGCAGCCGACCCAGCAACGTTTTGTTAGTGTATGTACTGTAGCACTTGCGGTGGTACCATCCGCGGACGCTCTCGCACAAGAAGGTATAGCTCGTCCTGCCTGCATTTAGCAGCTTCAAACAAAGTTTCCCAACTCTGCAAAGTAAATCGGGTTTGCTTTTCCTGCGATGCATTGAACGCAATGGCACAAGCAAAATTCCCGCGATACAACGCCATTCCCAGGACGAGGCCTAAGAAGCTCCACGGCCTCTTCCTCCATCATGTCAAAAGGTGTTTACCATGCTGTGAGCGGTGGGCAGGAGGCACTCAAGCAGCGCGAAACGCAACTACTATGCAACTACCAAACGAAAATGCAATTCTACATTTAAAAGAGTATTCTGTCGGTGTCGTCGTCATCTTCAAAAATTTGAAAAAGGCGCTCCTTTCCGTGAACTGTGCACCCCCAGATGGTGCGCAGTATCGCCGACGAGAGCGGAGAAATTGGCTTCTCCTGAGCTTCTGCCCTAACTCTGAAGATGACAACAAGCGGAATCCAGGTCAGGTATACGTAACATACTTTAGGCCGTAGTGAAGAACCCAGGTTGTCTGCTTGAGACTGAAACGGAAATTTTTTTTGAAGTTTGGGCCGCTGGACTATATGTGACTGCATAAGATCTCCTTACCTTTGTGGACTCGTATTCATATCCATGTAACTAGTAACGTTATTGGTTCTATCTCTTTTGTATATATTCAATCTGCGTACATAATTTTTACAAGATAGCCATATACATGTACCATCATTGTCACTGTGCAAACGGCGGAAAATCGCGCAGAGATGCATGTAGTACAGTAGGCCTAATGTACAGTCATGTCCATGGCTGTACGTTTACACACACAACAGAGGCGAAAGGTTGTGTAGCTGTAACTTTAAATTTCACGCATTTCAGCGATCATCAGACAGCAGCATTCACTATCGAATCCTCTACGAGCAGGCCTAGATATTTGATGGTAGTGTGGAAGTTAGTGCGTGTGTGTGAAGTGAAGACGTAGCATGGGGAGAGTGGTATTGAGTTGTTTGTGAGAGTTAAAGGATACACCGGTAGGTGAAAATAGAGGCGATAACAGGGCAGTGTTACCGAGCCATCGAAGGCGATAGCGACAGTAGCGCAAGACCATGGCAGGCGTGAAGAGGGAGAGAGAAAGCACAATGGCGCCAAACCTGGTGCAAGTTGCGCCATTTTGAAAAAAACAACTCATGTAACTGATGGTGGGAATTTGGACATGTAATTACTTGTTCTCGTGTCTGCATTTCGTCGTTTTCGATACCAGCTCCGACTTTTGTTGATGTTGACCGTTTTGTCTGCTTCCAGTATCTCTAGTTTCTCAGCCCAGGCATAGGGGACACCGCTTGGCCGCGTTTGGGTAGGCCGGGGCCTTGGTGACGACTGACCATTTGACAGAGTGCGGAGTGTTCTTCAGCTTGAGCTTCCATATGCACTTGGACAGCTGCGTGATTTTTTCCATCCTCACATGCAGCGTCGTGCTCATGTGATTGTTGTCGCTGCTCTCTTCTCTTCTGCTCTCTGTGCTGGACTTTTGCCTTGTACACGATGCATCGTACTTGGCAGTCGCCGTCAACTGGGCAGGTGCTTTTGTCTCGGCGGTTACATCGTTTACATGTATATATACGTGGACACAATGTCATAGTGGATCTGATACATGTATTAGTTCATGACATTGTATACAATGAGAGTTCACTTGCACACCAGGTTTAACAAAGTGTGATGCACTGCTAGTGACTATGGCGGTACATGTATGGGGAAGGTAATCTAGCCAGAAGCAGTCGGCGGTCAACAGGTATGTAGAGGTACGTACATGTACAGTATACTTGAAATAAATAGGATATGGGCCCTGAAACCAACACACGCGCACACATACACACAAACACACACACACACATACACACACAAGCGCCACACACACACTTGCTATCCAAGTACGAATCGTGACACCCTAGGTTCCACTACTGACCACTACCTGGGCGTAAACAAAGCGCATGTCCCTTCGCACTGCCCGGATAATCCGTACGTTGTGGTCTTCCTTCACCATACTTTTACATATACATGTACATGTACATGACATGGTGAACATGTACTCAGTACATTGCACATGTATACATGTACCTGTACATGTACATGTACAGGTACATGTACGTGTTTTGCCTCATCTGTCGTCCTTCTCAAGAGACGACTTGAGCTTGTATTGCCATCTTCCGCATTTTACAACTTCCAACTCGATGGTAGTAACATTAATACAATCATGTCCATGTACATCCCACATCCCAAACGCTTGTGGTATCTTCGCTGCCAATCTATTTTCTATCACAATTTCAGCTAGGAGCCATGTCAGTATAATTTCCCAATCTGGAGCATATATTATTGTACTTGTATAATGTATTATGTTGTACATGATATAATCCAAAACTGGTAAACCAGTACTATTAGATAAACCTTGTTGTAGTTCACGCAATTGTTAGATTGACAGCATGAAACAAGGTGGAGGACACTGTGTTCGAAAACAGTAACCTTACTATAACCTTCCGCGGTTGGCAGAGCCCCGGTCCCTGCGGACCATTTGAACCATATGGGTATCCCACCCGGTTATGACCCTCGTTATGCTAGGGGATTAGGGGACTACTCCTGATGTCGTCTTGACAGTGTCATGGTGATGACGAAAACTGTTTACAGCTGACGAGCTGAGAGAAGGACGCCATGGGCAGAAGTTGGAAATAAAAAAAAGAAGTTTTTAACTTGTTATACAAGTTAAAAAAGAGCGAAGACAACAAGACGACATCAGGAGTAGTCTCCTAACCCCCTTGCATAACGAGGGTCAGAACCGGGTGTGATACCCATTATGGTTCAAATGGTCCGCAGGGCCCGGGGCTCTGCCAACCGCGGAAGGTTGTAGTAAGGTCACTGTTTTCGAACACAGTGTCCTCCACCTTGTTTCAATTCATGCTGTCAATCTAACAAAATATACACTGTACATGTACGTACAATGTAGTGTACATGTACAGTGTATTATTATGACTGTACATGTATTGTTCAATCATCTTCTCTTGGAATGCCAAGCTAATCTAGTAATCAATCACGTTCATAATCAACATCCTGTGACGTTATCGCCGTGCTTACCCGCATGGTTGTACGGCCATGCTCAAGACAGGTCCATCGCCATTTCTGTTAGCGCTCCATGGTGTTCGGTGAATACATGATTGGGCGGTGAAACGCTCGACCAATGCTTTGCACCAAGTTTGGCTCTGTGATTTCATGAAGTCATCGGAGAGAGGGAGGCTTCTGCGCGAGACGTTACAACAAGCTGAATAGGTTTGGAAAGTCTCCAAACGAGAAACACAGGGAAATACGCATTACTAGTATAGCCAGTGGCCGTATTCTAATCGTGGAGCGCATGCAATTTCTGGTGCAATCATGAAGAGTGACACGAGGCCTCCTGCTGCTAGACATTATGTATGATCAAAGAAATTCTGAGCATTCGTGGATCTCGAGATACACTTCAGTGAATGAAAGCTATGGCACGGGACCAGATATCTTTCTGTGCTGAACGATGACAGTGCCAGTGGCCGATTGCAGAGGCTGGCTGTTGGCGTGACGCGTTCAACACGCCATCATCGGCAAGGGCTTGAATGGTGTGAGCACAATGAGCGTGGTGGGTGTAGATCTACTCGCTGTGGCTGGCCAGGAGAGACTTCTCATACCAGGGGCGGTTTGCATTCCTGTCCACGGCATCATAAGAAGTCACCCGTTCACTTCACACTGCTCACCACAGGGCGAAGTACGAATGCTTCCCTGTACCGATCGCCACTGGCGGCTGTTGACAATCGGGCTGGCGGTTGCCGGTGAACACTGCACGCGCAAGGGGCAGTTTGTTGATCGATGGTCATGAACTGAACAAAGCAGGAATGAACCAGATCCCGATCGTTGCGACCCGGGAAGCTCACAGACAACAATACTGGCTGTGAGTGGATGTTACATCAGACAGGGTAGGATGGTGTTTCGTTCAATCATGGTCTAGGACTTAGTGTGTTTTTAGTGGATAATAACCCGGGGGCCTTTGGGCAGATAGCGTTGCTCATGGATGTCTTTCCTGTACATCAGCATTCGTTTCTGCTTGCTGGATGACCGAGGAAAGCTGCGCGCCATGCACTGCCTAACGGGCTGGATGTGCGTCCCAGGAGATAAGGTTGAAGAAGAAGCGTAGAGAATCGCATGAGTTCAGAACAGTAGTGTGAGCGCAATGGACGAGGAAGACGGCAGGCAGGGAGCGAGCGCGACACAGTCGTTTCGATGTACTTCTGGAGCCACTCCTGCGAACATGACAGGAAAAAGAAAGATGTGTACAGGTGTCGGTTGGGTGACCACCGTGACACTAGTTGGCTTGATGATGCTAGTGATTCTATCGCTTGAGTTTTGCATTAACACTGGAGATGAACTGGATCCTCTTGATCGAATTGACGCGCGTAGGTATCCGAAGAGAATGGAAGTTAGGTTACGGTCCTCCAGAAGGCGTCTCAGGCTGCGCAGACTTCTTTTACAACGTGAACTAACCGAGCAGTTTCCGCAGAAACCAGCCCGTGTCTTACTCGAGCTTCGCCAGGGTCGTGGAGACAGCGATATGGATAGCTCAAGCGACGGCCAGTGGATGAGTGTGGAGTCCGCGAGCTCTGAAGGACAAGCTGGCCAGGATGGGAACACCAACTGGTTCAATCGCGGACCCAATCCTGATGCGGGTGACGAAGACGGAGATGGAGACGGAGATACCACGTACGACACACGCATGGAGACCACACCATCCATGCCGCAGAGCACTCCACCTACTGGTACCGGCGGCGGGGGTGATACCGGCGGCGGAGGTGGGGACAGCAGCGCTCCGACATTACCTCCAATCACCGAGACAACCCCTGTGATGTGCAACGTCTGCGATTCGGTACTGCTAATCAGCGAGTCTGCACTTCAGGAGCTGCAGGAGCTCTTCAGAGTTTTCGAGACCACCAGCATCTTTCAGAGCACCACCTTTGGCCAGCAGTTCAGCATGAACCCAGTCCCACGGCCGTCTTGTGGCAGTGTGAGAATGACGGAGGGTAACACGGCGCGCATACGATTTGCGGGCTCCAGCGCCACGGTCAGCCTGAACTCCACGCGTCCACCGCTCGTTGTTCTCACGTCAACACATGATAGTTCATTTTTCGAAGGCATCGGTGCGTTGCGCAGCGAGATCAATACAGTAACTGGCGCTATCGGGGCACGCAGAGTCCAGCGCACGCGCGGCGGAGAGTTCGAGTTATTTCCTCCAACACGACTGGTAAGTTGACTGTAACCCGGTGCAGTCATGATGTTTAGCAAACCTACACTATCATGAATTTCACGAAATGGCGGTCGTGGCTCTAGCGATAATTTTACCGTTCATGCTATATTCGACGGTCGGCGCGTAGAGGGCGAGTCTACTGTTTTTGATGTGTTTTCGAGACACGGTTAGCAGTTCGGCTTCTGAGTCCTGACTCCTGACGCAACGATCGACTTGCGACGTAACCCTAGTTGGAATCTTACCGTTTCGTTCTCCCGCTAAAAAGAGCTTTCTATCGTCGAAACGGTACCAAACCGACGGTATTTTGGGTTTTGGGTACGAGTGCCGTTAGATCTAGCGCGTGAACTGTAAAATGCCATGTCTACACACACAAAAAACGGTACAGGCCGACCGTCGAAACTAGCGTGAAGAGTAAAATGCTAACCATGTCTATTATGTAGCAGTGTTGGTTGTTCTCCCCGAACCTTTTTTCTATTTCACTCAACTCGTGTCCTATGACCATTATTTTAGCACATGTAGTGCGACAAAGGTGTGATAGCCAACGATGAAGAAGATACAAAAAGAAGGAGAATGGGGAGAAAGGAAGGATGACAGCATTCACAAGCCTCCAGGAAGACGAGAGCCTATGTTTGCTGCATGTGAGAAAGGAAAGCAAGCCTGAAGCTTGGAATTAATTTGGAATTCTTAACTTCCTGAGGAACCAGCAACGCCGGTGGGCGAGGAATAGTGAAAGGTTTGTTAATGTGAATGAAATAGCACGAGTGAGTGAGAGACAAGTACGAGTTCGCCGGGATAAAGCAAACCGATTGAATACTGAGTTATGAGTAGGGATGTTACTGAGGCGAATTCTGTTTTAAGATAAGGATCATCCGATCTATGGTGTATCATTTGGATGATCATTCACAAGGTCCTGACTTAGATTACACCAAACCAACGCTTGACATGCACACTGAGAAATGTGCACAATATACGTGCGATTAAAATGTAAGCCACTAGATCCGAAAGGTGGGCTTATGTCGTTTCGCGCAGTATTGAGAAAAATGCATGTGAAAGTTGAGGTTTCAACATAAAGCGTTGTATAAGTCACTTATTGAAACCCCTCTAGCTCTGTGAAATTAATAATGAGCAATAATTATTATGTTCGCATGAACTGATTGTCTAGTAACTGGTGGTATTAGTCGACATTATAGCGTAACTAGTAGTTCCTTGGTCCTTTGTTCTTTTCTATAAATTTATCCTTGGCTCTCCACCTGAATAATCATTCCAAGATGCTTATGGTCCTGGACAATCTCTATGATAGACGAGCTGCCAGGACATGGGGTACTGTACCAGAAGCCTTTTGGTCTGTTCCTAGCACCAATGGAAAAGATAATTACTTTACTCTTTAGTCTTTGACGAATTAGGCATCAGCGTCAGTCAGCATACTGGTTACAGGTAATGGCGGTATTGATCTTTGCCTGGACTAGAATGATGTCATCCACCAACAATACCCTGGCCTGCAACTACTTGAGGCTGTCACGGTGGTGTCATCAGAGACCATCAATACATTAGAGACAGACATTGGCGGATTGTGCTTGAGTTGACACCTGACTGCCTCACGGCTGCCATCCAGAGCACACCACAAGCCCAGAGAACCTTTGACTATGCTAGATTGCACTCCACCATGGATCTGCGCCAAACGCCAGTTTGCACCAGGTTCGGCAAGGGTTGCCTGGCGTTCCCGGGCGCCCAGCTGTGGAACACCTTACCCAGCGATATACGTGCCATCTCCACGCTCCGCCACTTCCGCGCCAGCATGATCACGCACACCTAGAGTACCAAACGTCCTGTTTGATGATCAGCTGGCTTAGTTTCTCTCCACCTCTATCCTTATTACATTCGCTCCCCGGTAGTACATTGGGTACTGCACTTGCCTGCGACCCGAGAGGTCGCGGGTTCGAGCCCCGCAGTCGCACATCTGACTGCAAAATCCCCACGACGCAGCTCACCAGATCAAGGTGTGGGTCCTCTGCACTCAGTAGAGTCAAGTCGAGCGAGCTGCAACTCCCGGTGCCGAAAGGCGGGCTCATGCCCCGACATGGCTACTTCCCCTTGTCTAGCCCCCAAGACGAAAATGATAGTAGCCGACTGGCCGAAATTAAAAAAAAAAAAAAAAAAATTCCCTCCCCAATTTCATTAATTACTGCTTTCTATCTCCATTCGCCACCTTTTCATTGGGCAGATCTGCCCGTTTGGTTTGCGAATTAAACTAAACACAACAACAACTACACTAGTACTAGTATGCAAGTCTAACGTTACAAGAAAGAACCACTCCCTGGTCAATGCAAAGCATGTCGAGGAATTCATTCCTCAGAGCCTTCCGAGTTGGAAGGTTGTTGGTTTGCGCTTCGCATACATGTACAGTCCCGCTCAATGAAATCCAGCCGCGTCACTCAAGTTTGCACCTTGCACCATTTTGGAGCCCAGTGTTCGCAGGTCTAGGGCTGCGCAACGCCCGGCGTGTACTTGAGTGACGCGACTGGATTTCATTGAGCAGCACTGTATGTGTCGCAGCTACTTGAACAAGTTGAAGTACAGTGCTGGCAAGTGAAATCCGACCCCTGCACGCTGCGCTCACATCGCAAAGACCCAACACGGGATGGTAAAACTTCGAAATAGAGACCGCTAGAATGTGAGAGCATCGCTAAGGGGTCGGATTTCAGTTTCCAGCACTGTACAATGTACATGTAGGTGTCAGGTCGTCGAATGTCTCAATCTTGGTCAGCATGTCTTGCACTCTCGTGATCACAATCATCAATGGGTTTCTCTCTCTTTCCTTTGCTGCCTTTCCAGGTATGCCGACATGAAAACTGCGACCCCTCCGCCACGCCAGCTTCTTCAGATAGTCCTATGCCAATGACAGCCGACACTCCAGCCACAATGATCTGGCCTGATCCGACGAGCGCGCAGCTGAACCAGGCAGCCAACGTTATCCTCTGCGACTCGTCCGACTGTCGCGCAACCCTACCTGGCCAGCCTGCACTGCCCCAAGCCTGTGTCGACATTCTGGTCGAGATAAATCGCAACAATTTAGTCACGTGATAAGCTGTGTGCCAATTGCAACAGCACGGAACACGTATTAATTGATTGCCAACAGTGATGTTGCACCGAAGTGTCCCTTATGAGGTGACTCGCTGCCAAAAGGTGGCATACGACAAGTCACTTGCTTTGCTAGGGCTTTACGCTGCGTGAGCATCAATCAAAGGCATCCTATCTCAGACTCCAGATCTGGATAAACACAGGTTGATTGGCTGGAGCCAATGCAGCCTGTGATGCAAACGAACAGCACCTCCCTCATCGGTAAACGTGTTCTTAATGATAATAAGCATCACCTTGAGCATTCTTCTCTACTTGAGCACAAAGTGTGCCAGAACGTCAACGTCGTTGTCACCATAAACTTCTCTGTTTCAAGTCTTGAATTTGTTTGGCACCTCAGATGAACGGAGGCCTGAACATCAATTTGCCTCCACAGTTGAGCCTTATTCCATGCATACACTGCTGAAGTTTTGAGCACCCCAAGAGTTATTATCCAGAGAATAGTGTTGATGCACCACGTGTTGCAAGAGCCATTGAGCACATTGACCATCCATTTAATTAAACTTTTTTTGTGACATACTGTCATTACGTTCCCCGAGCCGTGTATCACCTCACAAATGTAAAGATCGCATCTTTCTAAGAACTCAACCCTCGTCGGTATGGCTGCGGTCGTTGTGAACTGCCAGCTAACGAATGATTGATTGGTTGCTATTTCTAAAGAAGTGTCTGCGCAGACGCAATCCGCACAGTCAAGTAAAGCCAATTTAGTAACCGAACGTTTTCGTTCCCCTCTCATCATCGGTAAGTACAGGGAGGAATGGAAAAATGTCAAAATACAGCAGCTAAGAGTTGAAGCAAAAGCATAGATCGCAGACATCTACGTGTTCAATCCAAGTCATTGAACATTCAGTTGAACAGATCAAAAACAGGGTGAAGGTGAAGAGACGACTTTAACATAATGAAAACATCATGAGGAACAGTGTTCCCTCACACTTTACGAGGATTACCGCCAAACAGCTGAAGCGACAAAACTGTGTTCTTCTGAAAACATACGTGTAGTTCTGGGGATATGGTTGTTATTTTGTTTGTGTTTTGCTTTCCGCGTTCGATCAATCTCTTCAAGTGTAATCTGTCTGCCTTGTTTCGAGCTGTGAGCGAGTCACGCTCGATATGATTGTGCATCCACAAGGCAAAACAACAGAGACCGAAAGCATTCTCGTGACTTCGAGTTAAAAAAAACACTCATCAGACGATGCAACATAATGCCCTATTCGCTGGTTATAATTATAAGGTAAGTGTCATGTAGAGTAAGGCAGTGTAATAACCATGATAAGGGATATCCCCAGCGCTGGAATATACTGTGAGTAATCGTATTGTGATTGTGCATATGTAGAAGCAAACTGGGAAATGACACACACAGGGGTGGGATAGAGCAAACGCGTCGGGGAAAAAGGTCAATCATTCTTTATTCATGCAATTGTGACTCGATACCTGTGAGGGGCTATTTCATAGTGCATCGAAAGGAGCTACCTCACCATACACCATGCACGCTTGAAATAAAATGAATTTCCCCGCTCAGATTTGACACATCATGTGCATGTATGTACATGTATGTGTGTGTGAATGTTACTGACGTTCTGAAAGGACATAGTACTGTTAAACTGTCCTGTGGTGTTATGTGAGCACGATGTAGACCATGCTTAGCAATGACCATGCTTTTACAAATTTTGTTTCCATTTCACATTTTTCATTCGTGTTGGGTTTAACTATTCACTGTACTGATGCATGGTGATGATTGTGCTTCTCTTTGCCCGTAAAAGAGACCTTTTCTCAATGACCATGCTTAGTTTTGATTACCAATACCAATAATAACCTTCATATCTCTCAGGTACTGGTATAACGGAAGAGTTGCTGCTTATCCTAATTTGAAACGCAACTTTGATATGACATTGTTTGGAATCACCTCCCGTGATTTGCCTACTTCAGAAACAAGCGTCGCCTAAATAATGAGAATCACCCCTCGGGCGCATGGTGGTGTCAAGTTCTCTTACGTCATAGTAGCACTGTTGGCATGCTATGAACATCTGATCTCTCGGATTGATTGCATGCGAACAGCTGTGAACACAGAGAGTCAGTTGTCTGTGTCATGTGACAAGTGGATGCCTAGGGCCACGTCTCCCAGGACAGCCAGAGGGCACAAGTCCTGGTAGGTAGGGTGATGACGCCACCAGCATCACTAGTATGCAACCTGCATTAATTATGGAACCCTGTGTTGACTCGCAGGAAATTCGTTTGCGCCGTCTAACTTACTCTTTCTTTCCAAGTTTTGTTCAAGACAGTATTCATCCCGTCTCGCAATAATTATAATCTTCTCTATATCCACAGACTCCACTGTTGCCATCCATCATATCCATGCATCCTCAAAACACTCCATCAACTGAACTCTTGGTTACCCATATCAATGTCTATCTGTATCGCTATCTGTGAATGATTGTTGTAATTGGCTGCTTTCAAGCAATGGCGTCAGCGGATTATTAACACATTGGTACTTCTCCACCTGCACAAATCCGTTGATCCACGACCTTCAGAGAGTGCTCAGTGTCGTAGAGCGAGAGAGAGAGAGAGAGACAAAGAGAGAGTGTGTGTGTGTGAGAGAGAGAGAGAAAGAGAGAGAGCAGAACCCCAGCATCAGCTGACTGGTGATTGCCTTTGCTGCACGAAACTCGGAACTAAAACGAACCTGACCGCCCTCCGCAGAGTGTGCGATGCACTTCTCAAATTTTGTAAAAGTGGAGGAAAGTAATTTAGTTGAAATATGAAATAGGAATCGCCGTACTCATGGCACACATACATTGCAACCGTAGACGTGACATCATGTCTACGGTTTGAGATTCTGATGTTGAATCTGCACAGCCTTATACGCGTACATGTACATTTACTTGTACGTGTAGATGGTGAGATACCATAATAGGCATGATCTGGGATTGTGACCTATTGCACTTGCAAACACCGCATCATCATTCGTCAGTAGTTTCTGGCTCCATCACTTCTGTCCCTACCTGGCCATGTTGCCCAACTCCCTCAAGCCGTTCACATAGTGCTAGTGGCACTGGGGATGGGCACACCGTTGTCTCTGCTGGCCTGCCACGTTGCTGTGATGTCAGCATGTCTTGCGATACCGTTTCCAGTACAGAACATGTTTGTGTTGCAAGTGCCCTTCGTAGGGTGTATCTTCGCGTATAGTAGGGTGAGGATGGTCCCTGCATGAATTAACCAGCTTTTTCCACGCACATGAACATGTACAAAACTATTAATTTTATGATCATTTTCACCGGAGGGTGTACCCAGGGTGCTGACAGTGCTCAACACCACGGAGGCAGAGCGTAATACAGAACAGAAAACCAGGGACAATCAAGGCTTGTTTGCTGCAGCAAATATAACGCTGTGTACACTCAACACCCTGCTTCAGACATCATTATCTGTAGCATCACACTCTGCCACTGGCAAAAATGTCATCTCACACCTGAAGACATAATATTAAGATGTATTGTTCATTCTCGCTTGGTGCATGATGGTATTGGACTTTCCTCCCTCGATTTGTATTTTGCAATTATAATCTGCTCAGGACACCTCCAACTAGGCATGTGCGGATAATGCTGGCAGAAAAATTGGCAAAATTCCGTACTTTTTCTGGTAAGTTTCATGCATGTTTGGTATGTGGATAAAGAAATGGAGCAGAATTCGAGGAGTTGCCCGCCATACGGTTTGTATGGTTCTGCCAATTTCACAGCTTTTCGAGCAGAATCTGCCACCTTTTCGAGCATTATCCACACACCCCTACCTCGAACTAGGGTCAGTAGTGAGCGGCTTATTCTGCTCGAAAAGGTGGCAGATTCTGCTCGAAAAGCAGTGAAATTGGCAGAACCATACAAACCTTATGGCGGGCAATTCCTCGAATTCTGCTCCATTTCTTTATCCACATACCAAACATGCATGAAACGTACCAGAAAAAGTAACGAATTCTGCCAATTTTGCTGCCAGCAGAATCCGCCGGACCCTACCTCCAACTCGCAACACACAAAGTCCTCGGCTACACCACGTACAACGATTGTTTCCAAATTTTTTACCAAGGAGGGCATCGTAAGGGATAATACCGGTGATCTCTTTTGGCTAAGGAATCCCCGTTTGTGACGAATTTTATCCACTGATGATGTTGATTTGAAAAAATGTTTGTCTTGGAAATACATACTTATATTTAATACTTGAATCCAATCTAAAACCGTTTTCATGTAGCGTGTGTGCCATAAGTACAGCGAACATATTTCCTATTTTAAAAGCAGTTTAATAACACTGTGTAATAGCACTTTTGTACTATAATTTATGACGTTCGTCCATCGTCCGTAAAGGGCTCAATTTGCCGAGAGAAAAGAGCGGAATACACTGACAGAGGAACAAGCAGTTGCTTTTTAGTAACTCTGAGTTGCACGAACTGAATCGGTCATCAGACAAAAGTTGATTCTGTCACTATTTACATGAGCTCTATAACTCGCCCAGGGGGAAGATTCTTGTAAACCGACACGAGGAATGTAACAAAGAATGAACCCGATTGTGAAATTCACAATTCACTTGTCTGCTTGGACCTTCAGGTGGTTGCAACGTGCCACAAGGTTGTTCACACACCAACAGGCCAGTTCTAGCCTGCCCTACATTAGGCTACAATGCCTGGAAGCCTTCATTCAATCTCGATTATTGCGCCCGTTCATGTGTGTCTTGTTCTGCCATATTATGATGTGCTATCAGAATCGAAGGTGCGTCCTCTATCTCTGCACCTAACCAGTACTTTCTGTGACGTCATATGGTCACGTGCTAGACCGATGGGCGTCACATGACCATGGGGAATGAGATGGAGCGGCTGTGTGAACGTGCGCCTGCCTGCGACCACAGGTCAGGTGTAGCAGTAATGGGCTGCCAATTCTTGACAAAACACGCAATTTCACTTCATGCTCTGGCCCGGAGCGGAATCCGACACCTTCTTTAGCCAGGGTGACTGGTTGTCCGACCAGGCGTACGTCAGCCTCGGGGCCACAATTCACCACAGGCGCTGTCAGCCTGGAGCCAGTGGTTACAAAGGGCAAAGGCCAGAGATGTCACGCCACTGTGGGAGCTTCGAATGGCTGGCACGTAATGACTACCTGTGCAAATGTCGAACTACATTGTACAATGAACGTAGGGAGTGCGACCACTCTGCAAGGGCCGACCACAATCATCCAGGACAGAAAGGAGTTACAGGTGCCGTCATGAAACGTAAAAGCTGTGGACACCGACTGTAAGTGACAAACAAGGACTTGTCAACTGACGCGCTTATCGATTTGGGTGGCTGATTGTGACGTGAACTCAGGAGAAAGCCAAACGTCCTATCTCTTGGTCACGTCCCATACGGACAATGACAGACTCTCACATACAGACATTTGTAGTGAGTGCCATTGATTGGCGGCGTGCTTGTGTGTGTGTGTCCGTGGTTTCGCCATGCAGCGTCGACAATAGGAATTGGAGAAGTTTGACTGCACGAATTCTCGATTGACAGGCTGGAATTCCAACAACATGCACTGCGTCCATGTGGCCTGTTATCCATCAACTTCATTGACGGAACGAACTCTGTCTTTTCAATGACATTCGAGGTCCGTGACAAAGCACTACAAGTCCGACGTTGAACTAGCTCTGGCAATGCAAACAGTTACCGACATCACCCCTTGATGCTGGAGGCTTCTTCGCATGAACCCTGCGTGATCAGAAACGGCTTTCTAAGCAGGCATCGTGTCCGCAACCATCTTGCCCGGTACCTCCTCACGTTTTCAGTATTTACTGAAAGTTGCTGCAGGCACAGCAAGGCTGACACTAGCCGTAATTACGTGATCGCAGCCTTCTCAGGATTCATTACATCGCACTTTGGAGGGTCGATCTCATTATGAAGCGTGGCCGAGGGCGACCAAGCAAAGCTTCCCGTGCCCAGCTAAGTGCCCGCCGACAGGCGACCACCGCCTCATCATCAACGTCCGACGCGGAGAGCGAGCAGCCGTCTAGCGCAGCTGCAATGGGCAACCGGGTGAATATGGCGGAAGAATACGACCGGCTCGGTCCGGAAAAGACAGGGAAAATGTCATTCCAGGTGAATGAGCAGGTCCTATTGCGGGGCACGGGAAGCTCTATCTATTATGCTACTATTCAGGCGATCCATTTCGACAAGCGCCAGTGTGATGTTCTATTGGACAACGAGAAGGTCGGTACGGCGGAGTTCTCTCAGATTTATCACGGTAAGTTGCGATAACCAGTTAAATTGCTTTTGAGGTTTACGAGATTCTCAAAATGTTGCTTTTTACCACACAATCATATGCATCATCCTTTCACGTGGCTTTCGGCTATTTACACGACAACTACATCTCTGTTGCGACGGCGGTACAGTGAGCTCTCGCATAGCTTCTTTGATGCGTTGCTGGGCACGCTATATTAGGCATGTCACTCACAGCGCTGTGACACTAGGGGTGTTAGTGGGCGTCATGGACGCCTCGAACGACCGGAGAAGAAAGTCCATTTATTGAGGGTACTACATGTACAACCAGTAGCAATTTCAGGTCCTTTACTCGTGATTTTAATGTCAGCACAAACTTAATGTCACCAACATGCAATGCCTACGGAGCTGGACATCCACGTTCATCCACATGATATCATTATGGGAAAAGCTTCCAGGGGCGGGATAATAGCATTAGGCATCTAGTCGGGGCTTTTCCACGGCAGGATCATAGCGTGAACCACCAAGGTAGAGGGTGCGTACCATGTACATCGAGGGACTTTATGCAGCACATCCGTGGGATTTTAGGTTAATCCCGAGGTATACGTGTGAATAAAGCTAAAAGAAGAACAGTAGAATCATAGCAGAAAAAAGGGAAAGAGAAGAGAACAGTTAGGATCAAACGGTGAAACCTATAGCTTTCGGAGTAAAGCGTTGTCGACTCTTGATTTCGCTAGGTTCTACTAACAATAATTATTCGTAACGTCTTCTGCATAGCTTCGGGTATAAGCCGCTGTAGACCCTGGCGAGCGCCATGGGGTACTATTCCTAACGTATTCTGCACAAAGAAAAGTGCCTGCTCCAAACGTAAGAGCTCGCGCTCCCTGCAGAGTGACTTACCTGACACACGACTCCGTCTGGAGCACACGAGACGAGACGCCCGTCGAGCCTTCCACTGGACAAACCTGCAAGAAAGCACAACGCCCGCTCAATACACAGTGTTTCGGGGAATTCACCCCTCATCAGTAGGGCTAGAGTAGGCTAATGAATTTTTGCTCCAAGAGCACTGCATTATCTCGGGGCCAAAGCATCTCTAGGGATACCAACTAACTGACTTGCAGTGACGCTCCATTTACAGCGTGACAAACACCTCATGAGCACCAGCCATAGGCATATGCGGATAATGCCGGCAGAATTATTGGCAGAATTCGGTACTTTTTCTGGTAAGTTTCACGCATGTTTGGTATGTGGATGAAGAAATGGAGCAGAATTCGAGGAATTGCCCGCCATAAAGTATGTATGGTTCTGCCAATTCACTGCTTTTCGAGCAGAATCTGCCACCTTTTCGAGCATTATCCGCCAATGCCTAATTTGTGACATCGGCGGTAAAAAAATTATGAAGGAAGGGTTTTGATCAGGGAGTAGGCATTTCCCAAATCGGCCGGCCGAAAATTCGCAGAAAACTGTGGTTTTGAAGAAATCACCGATCTTTTGGCCCAATATGCATTTTTGGCAATGAATTCGCCGAAAATCGATGTTTTTGTGCCTCAGCAGTATGCAAATGCAATCCCTGTAACCATTATGCTCCGAAAGGTGACTGTGACTTGAGATCGGTCAGCAGGAAAGGACGACGAAATCAATGGCTGTGAAGAAATAGCCGATAATTGCGCCGAATTTGCAAATTTTGCACTGAATTCGCCGAAAATCCATGGTTTAATGCCTCTAAAGGGTGCATGTACATGTAAATGTACACTGTATTACGAGCGGTGAATTCAAATACTGCATTGAGCCGAAATCTCACTTTGGGGCTCATAATAAGGCCGAGTTTGGACATTCTCTTAGCCGATCGAAAAGCCGATTAGGCGAAAAAATGGGCCGATTTGGGAAATGCCTAGCAGGGAGTGTTTGTCCAGTGGAAGTTCCGACGGGCAGGACGCGCGAGTCCCGATGTATGAGTAGGCACTTTCCTCGTGAATTCCAGCAAACGGTGTAGCTCATATTCTGCATAGCTACGGAATAGAGCGCTGTGGACCGTGGCTAGCTGGAGACATCACTAATTGGAACATGGTTTGCATAGCTTCAGGGAGAACAAAGTGCTGGTCAGTGAATTCCGATCGGACGAGTGAATACCACGCCCGTTACAGTGCAGACGTAAACTTGGGCGCACTGTTATGTGAACTGGGGCCGTATTTTACATTCTGTCAGGGGCACTTTTACCACCGCTACTCTGCTGTATATGTACATGCAGTCCAACAGCAACTTTGTACGGCCAAACAAAACACAATTTGCCATTTATGGAGGGGAAGAACACAATTAAACTTCTGAGAACAATTGCATGACAGGAAGAATATGATAAGAAAATTGGAACGCCACTCAAATAATGGCAAAATTCAGTACATGCACCTTTTTTATTATTGTAAGCCGTTGCCGCTAACCAGGTCAGCCTAATTTTTCGTTGTACAGTACTGAGTTGCTTTGCCGGTTCAACAGAGGAGGACATTGCGCCATCCGCTAATTGGCTTTCTCTGCGTCTCGTCTTCTGCCCCTAGTTTCCCATACTCTTATGTCGAAGGACGCCGGCCGGTCATGCGTGGTGTGCCATGAGAAGTCCACTCACGCTCAGAACGACATCGTGGTGTGCGACCAGTGCATGTATGGTAAGCAGTGTTCTTCGCCATGTGAACTACATGTACAATGAAAATAAAACAGAGTCTCTCTGTGGATGCAGTGAATTGGATTTTCAGTATTGGACCACTTTGGTGCGTCTGATCTACTCACCTCCCACCGTTTTAGGAGCAACATCTGCGCCTTGATACTTGGTGGTGGTGGTGGTGGTGTGTGTGTGGTGTGTGTGTGTTCTACGGATGTCGAAAACTCGGCCGCCTGCCGAGTCTCACGCGAACCGTCCTTTTTCCCTCTACGTTTATTTGTGGATAGAGCATGAAAGAAACGTCTTGTACAAATGTAGATGTAGAAGTCTACAAGTAGCCGCCGGTTTGATTTAAAAGTCCTATTCGGTGGCCAACTGCTCGACTTGCGGATACCCGATCACTCGACTGTATGAGACCCGCGGCGCGCTGCGTCCAAACACTGAGCTGCGAAATGCACACGGTTTGCCAGACTCTTACAAGAAGAGCACTCAACAGTAGGCCTACAATGTTACTAGTACATACACAAAATAGGAGATCCCCCAGATAGGCGTTAGCCTTTGGTATTATAAATCCTGAAATATATAAAGAAAGAAAGAAAGATTATTATAATGTGCATGCTACTAGTTTTTGTTGTAGATCTACATAATTGTCATTTAGCAGACATTGTGAAAAGGTCATGAACTTTGACCCCTAGTGGTGTAGTATGTTTCCCGTACCGATAAACAGACAGTGCTCGTACATGTATCGGAGACTATCTGCGCAAAAGCAAAAGCAGTGCTTTTTTTCTTTCTATCTCCATGCCCTGTGATTTCTTGTAATCTCGTGTTCAGGTTATCACCAAAATTGTCACAAACCTGCCATCTTTGGCAGGTCCAAGCAGGAGACCGTCACTTGGGTGTGTATCTACTGCCGCACGGGCAAGGCCTGTCCATACGTGCGTACGGCTGACAATCCTTTCCTGCCGCCTCGCGCACGCCGCTCCTCCCTTGCGAAGTCCACCGGCTCTGCAAATTCTGAACCGACGGTAAGGATAGAGCTACAAGTAGGAGTGCTTGTATCAATACTGACAAGACGCTATTGAGTCTGAAAATTGGCAGAGTAATTGGGACTCTCAGCAGCATCCTGGCGGTATTGAGATTCATTCCAATTGTTTTGCGTGGACAGAATAGATGGCGCTCAAAGAGACTCGCAAAAGCCGTTGAGTATATCCGATACGTTTCACATGTATGACCAAATTTGTGTTTCTCTCTTTGCTGCTATGCTTCCAGGAGGAGAAACGACCAGGCAAAGTGTCAGGAAAGAGAATGAGCGCATTGGTTGCAGTGCGCAAGATGCAAGCCCAGGCGCGACTCAGCGCCCCACTGGGCGACGATGAAGACGGTGGTGAGGAAGACGACAACGATGATGATGATGATGAGGCGGAGGACGTGGACACGATGTCTCCTGGTGACGAGGAATTCAACGGTGAGTCGTCCGAAAGCCAGGATGACGATTCGTCGCCTCGACCCGCGCCGGCCAGCCGAAAGCGGCGCCGAGACTCTATCGTCATCTACGACAGCCCCTGTGAGTCGACTGAGGTACATGAGTCACTCGGGAAGCGACTGCGCCAACCACGCATCGTCCTGGATCAGCAAAGACACTCCAGAACACGGTTGACGGAAGAATATACCGCGTACCAACGCAGCGGCATCATCCAAAACGCGTCGCAAGAATCACTCACCAGGAATGGTGGCACATCGAATACCATAAAAATGGAAGACTCGAGTATGATGACAAGTGCTGGTGTACACCGCAAGCAAAGGGCAACAGCGCAAACGGATCCAGCCATCGCATACTTCAGCGATCTCAGCTCATCCGACGAGGGAGGAGAACCAGCCTTCAAGCAGCCCTCAGCAGATGATGCCGCTGTTGTTAGAACACGGAACTCAAGGCGCTCACCGTCCATGCAAGCAAGCGCCGTAAGTGATCCGAAATCTCGCTCGCAAGATCGCAAACAATCATTGGACGCATACCAAACAGAGCTTGGGAGCACGACCAAACACCCATCTGAGTCAACCCATGTTCGTGCTGCCCGAGTTGAAGGCCAGCTTGAAGGCACATCGCACACTGGCGAGAAGATCATACAACCGACTGGCGCTACCTCGACAAACAACACAAAACCCCACAGCACCACAGCAACCGCCACCACGCCAACACTTACTTCGCCTAGAAGTTCGGATTCATCGCCCCTGAAGCAGCCTTTATCCTCGCCCACGGTACATTCCCGGGGCACAGGCGAGCGCAATGGCGTGCGCAAGCCGGGCAGATCTGCAGCCTGTAATGGCGGGAAGAACGACACCGTCCAGTTGTCTGAGGTGCGTCGCAAGCACCGAGAACAATGGTTGCGAGAACGTCAGAACAATGAGAGCGCAGGCCAAGCTGCAGTGGAGGAGAGAGTCAAAGAGCCTGTTCAGGATAATCCAAAACCAGCGACAATAGCCGAGGAGAAGCCATTGCAAAACATGGAAACATCTGCATCAGGCAGTAATAATGAAGATCACGGTCCAGCAAACGCCAAGGGGAAAGAGCGGCATTCTGCTGAGCATCACTGGCGAAGCGCTCGGTCAAGCGTCGACCCTACAGCAACCGCAGGAGATAGTGCCCAAAATGCTACCGTTCTAGGCAAACTGCCAAGGCCGAAGCTATCAAAGGGAGGAAAGTACTTGCACAGCTTCAAAAAAGATCTAAGGAACCAGAACACAGACCTGAATGAGCTTCTCGAGTACGGCATACAGAACCTGGCATCGCGACGAGTTCATGCATTGCCGCAGAGCGGTACACCGAAACCGCCGGACATTCCCGCGAACGAGTTGACGGCGGACGCCAACGTCGGCAAACTCTGCACGGCGTTCAACTTCAACTACGTAAGCATTGCAAGTAAGCTGAGATTACAGTATCTTCGCCGCAACGGTGCCGTTGCCGGCCAAGCGAAGGGAGTGCACGCCAGAGAAACACAGTCAGCTACAGAAACGAGCCGAAACAACCAGGCACACCAGCAGCAGCAGCAGCAGCAGCAGCGGGAGCAACCACAGCAGAAGGCAGCGGTCCTGCCGACCAAGGCCAGGGAGAACACGGGCAAGTCCACTGGTACGTACCATCCCCAAGCGTACTCCGAGGCTCAGCTGGCGGCACAGCCGACCCTGCAATCACAAGGAGCACGCCGCCGTGATTATGAACAGAAAAAGGTGGGGGAAGGTGACGGCAGTCTACCAAAACAAGTCGAAGTCGGTGACAGGGTGTTCCTGCAAGTGGACGGCAGATTTCATCCCGTTCGGAAGCAAGAGGATAGGCAAAAGGGGATGCCACGTCCGTCTCGGCATCCCATTCACCAGCCGCAGCAGTATCAAAAGCAGAAGCCGCAGAACGTACCCGCCTGCATAGTCATACCGGATCAAGCGCCAGAAGTCCAGCGCCCTGCCGAACAAGCACCCAGGATGATCCCGCAGAAGGCGCAACCGGTCGCAAAACCCTACGTGTACCTTGCGAGCAGCCAGCAGGCTATTGCTGGTGAACACATGCCCCAAGAACACCACCGGCACAGTCATACAGCATACCAGCATCGTGACCCGCATACCGGCCGAGCTGCCGTGCGAGCAGTTCCCAGCATTCCCGAAGACCACGGTGAGCGGCACGGGTCGATTCCCCGCGGTGGACAACAGTACCTGGATCCAGCGTCCTTCCCACCGCCGTGGAACGGAGAACCGCTCCACGTCGTCCGTCGGCTGCCAAACGCTAGCAATGAGCGACGTTCCAGCCATCCCTCTTCCAAGAAGCAACCCGTAGCAAATTACATTGACCCGAAGCTCACATCGACTGCACCTCCTGTAATCCAGCCCTCATCGAAACGTGACCGAGTGGTCGATTCCGGCTACCAATATCCGACGAGCACTGATGGCTACAAGTACCAGGTGCAACAGGCGCAGGAGCCATACATCCTTCCCACTGACGACAAGCAGAGGCCAAAAGCCGAGGTCGTCCCGCCCATTAAACGGGAGGACGCGGCCCGTGGCAGTCCACCGGGCGATCACCCGGGCAGAGCGGCTGCCCCGAAGTACACAGGCGGAAGCTCCACGGCTCACCAGGAACCCGGATCTCAACCTTCGGCGGCTGACGCGCGTCATGGGAACGCAGCGACGGGGAATGACTCCGGAATCTGCGCAAACTGCGGCAAATGGGCGGCGTTCACCTGTTCCACATGCAATAAAGTCTGGTACTGCAGCACGGAATGTCAGGTAAGCCACCATCATTGTGTATTCAGTTATGTATTTCGTTCGTTTTTTACAAACTGGAGCCGACCAGAAATTTGATTGACGTCTGGGCAGGAATTACAAAGTTATCCTGGTTTTACTGTCGGCCGCCTTGACGACCAGAGCACTGTTGATATGAGAATGCAGTCGACTCCTGAGATAGTCTTAACTAGATTTTGTGATGTGATTGGCATGCATGTCAGGTTGCTACGGTAACTGCAGGGAATGTGAGGGCACTCTTGTTATTACACTTCCATTTCCTTTTTCGATGTCTCTGGGTGGATGCCTCTGGTGTGCATTTGTGTGTGTGTATTTATGTGTGTTTTTATGTGTTCACGTCTGTGTATACTGTCACCCCACAGCGGATTAGCTGGAAGAAGTTTTGCACTACTTGCCACGTGAAGCGGAAGCAGACTCCTGTAAATACAGCGACCAGATAGCCGTTCACAGGAATAGCGAAGACACTCTTACACCACCCATATCAAACGTTGCGTGCATTGGGTTTTAAGATTATGCCCTCCAGAAGATGGACTGTATCGAGTTGATCTATTATTCCGCTTTGGTTCTATTAGTAGTACCTGTCCGGTGCTCCATTTCCTCATCAACTTCATGATTGTAGTACCCTCCCAACGTTACTATAATAATTATTATTATGTTCTGATACTATTTCCTAGATATTTGGCAGAGGTCTTAGGGTTGCTATGCTGCATAATTTATTTCAATACGTATTCCGTTTGAGCTAAGCAGCAATGTGGTGACCAAATTTGAATGCATCTGACTAGTAAAACTTGATAGTAAGCATCGCACAGGATTCCACTTTTGTTGTTGCATTATCATTACGTATGTGCAGTCCTAGGGCGGTACAGGCGAACAAATTTTACTTTGTGAATCGCCAGAAGTGTTGTTTTCTTCGATCTAAGTATTTCTTGGTCGTGGCATGCATGGATCCCAACAATGTTTTTTGTACAGGGCATGCCAAGAGGAGATAAACAAGAGTGTGTAACTTCGGATCTCTCCTGCACAATCTGCAGATACCCCGGCCCACGGCGGAATTTTTTGTTGACGTCACCTTTTTTTCAGAAAAAACGTGCATTTTGCCGCAGACTCGCAGCGAGTGCGTAGAAGAAAAGATAATGTGAACAAAAATTCCGCCGCATGCCAACCCATCCCGTAGTTGCACACTCTTGGGCATTCCCAATGCATACGTACGGCGGTGTAAATGTAGATGAAAAGGTTTGTACAGCAAATTCCGCAGTTCCCCACACAAAATATCATCACTGGAGGTCATGCCTGCCTACATTGGGGTTGAAAATGCCGCATCTCTGCGTGTACCGGAGAAAGCAGCGGATTTGTGGCGGGGAGAACAATACCTACAGTCCCCCCCCCCCCCCCCGCTCTCCGCATCCCTTTCATTATCAATCACCCGTTGGTGAACGAAGAGCCGGCTGCACAGACACAGGGTCGTCCAGTGCAGGCCAATCTGCATCTAAAGACGGCAAGAGAGACGACATGGCCGCTTTCTGAAAGCAAGTGGACCTTTATCGTAGTTATCGCAAAACACAGGCTTCACACAACCGGGGAGCAGTGCACCCCCACACAGGTTTCACGCACCCGGGGAGCAGTAAATCTCCATACAGGTTTCACGCAACCGGGGAGCAGTAAATCTCCTTACAGGCTTCATCTAACCCGAAGATCAGTTCATCTCCACATAGGCTTCACGCAACCGAGGATCAGTGCATCTCCATACAGGCAAACCAGTAAAGCTGAATACGCGACAGTCCACCATGTAGACAGCCACCGCACAGTGAATTCACGGCAACGGTATACCGGCGCTATTACAAAACATTGCTTTAGACATTCCACTAGTGATCCTGGTGCTGAGAAAGAGAAACTTAAAAGAGACACGAGCCAACAGACGTGGCACAACGAAGCATGGATTTTCACAGATAAACAAACTCACACACACTCAGACTCAGACAAAATACATGCCCATCGCGGAAGCGATGATAGCGAACAGGTATGTTAGACATAGCAACTTGTGCTCACACACACTCTCTCTCTCTCTCTCACACACACACACACACACACACACACACACACACACACACACACACACACACACACACACACACACACACACCATGAGAAAGCCATACGAACATTACAGAATCTGACCACGTTCCGCACTCCAGTCAGAAGGGAAGAGTAATTTGTGAAAGAGAAGGGTAAGCATAGTTTAGTGAATTGGAAGGAAAGAAAGAGTGGGACAAAATTCAAAACCATACTCAGAACAAAATATACAAGCAAAGAAATTTATGGCACCACGATACGTTGGCGTGCCTTCATCTGGAGAGGCAATGTGACTTATGCACCGTGCCTTCAACCTCTGTAGATAGATGATGAGCACGCACATCTAGATGTTACACCGCAAACAAAACAAGAAATGGAAAAGAGAAAGGGCGACGTCATAGTATGATTCACATCAAAGTCGTAAAAGTTCAGAGAGCCATCAGTTGTGAACACAGCTTCCCACAAGAATCATACACGTCTACGGCATTCTTTCCAAAAAGGAAAGATTGGAAATCCTCCTCATATCCCCCCCCCTCCAACTCATTCAATATTGATGTCAGGAATACACATTGTAGAGGAGGATGACTGGCCATGTGTATTCCACGACTGATCTGTAGTCCCGAAAATGTATCGCTTGCTAGCGTTTTTCACCAGTACCCAAACACCTTGATTATTAATTTGGCCAAAACACGGAGGGGGAATCGACTTGCAGTTTGCAACTCAAAGCTACGAGAGATACTCGAGCAGCAATTACAACGCAACAAAGAAGAGAATTTAGTCTATTGCCGCCTGTGTTCTAAACGTTCATGACAATACGAGTACAGGTCTACCCTGGTCAGTATATAACCGCGGGGGTTTCAAATTGTTTGTCTTAGAACGTGCACAATCTACTATCCAGACGTGAATGTACGTGTTTCGGGCGTCAGGGGATTTTTGATGGAAGTCTACTGATGGGGGTTGTCTTGTAACCGGTGTCGTATTAACACGGGTAGACCTGTACAGTATAACATGCCGGAAACAGACGCCTGTTTTCAGCAGAAACTGTCCTGATATGACATGATGCCACTTCATCCAGGGATGCACGTTCGATGCACAGGTTGTCCGGTCGTTACAGGATCCCCTCGATACAGGGTCCACCAAAAACAGGTTTTACTGCACTAGAATAGACAGCCGAGTGCCGACACAACTGCTGGTGCTAACTTAGAAGCACAGATCGCAAGAAGGGACTTGCTTACCTGCACGTGGAGGCTGTGGGTATGCGCACGCGATAGTAGCCGCACTTGAGCTCGGTGCGAACCACCTGGCGATACGGAGCGTAGTACGGCAGTCTGAACAATCTGCAACGCACCAAACATGACACAAGAACACAAATGCTCATGCTGCAGTAAGCGTATGCCATACAGTTCCTCAAAGAAACCAAACTTCGTGACTTCCTGTTCACACTGTACTGAGTTAACAAGCTCAAGAAACTTGAATCCGGAGAGAAAACATACTTCACAACTAGGAGTGGATTTACTTTTCGAAGTATGTGCACTGTCAAGCAAACTAAATTTTCACCGTTCGAGTCTCATTTGGAAATTTCTCAGTGCTCAATTCACCAGGAATAACAGCTCAATGAAAGTCAGGAAGGATTAACAACGAAAAGAATAAAACGATCACTGTCTAGCCCCTGGTGGAAGCAGGGGGTGGGGTTGAGGCAGGAGGTCATGACTGTGAAACAGACACCAACATTAACACCGGCAACAATATGAAAACAAGTGCTGCCACGCACGCTGAAACAAGTGCTGCAGTCACGGTAATTAAAAAAAAGAGGGATTTTGAGCCACGAGGCACACATGCACTGGATCTGTACATAGTCCATGTTCAAGGTGTGCAAGGCAAACCCTGCAACCGAAGCTAGGGGTCACAGTTCGGATGACGATCAGCCCTTGTCCCCTCAACGATGCCACTATGTTACTGTCGAGTGCATGTGTTGCGTGACGGGCGGTCATTTCTACTTACCGGTTCGGCATACCACTTGGCTGAGTGGGTCGGGCTGGCGTAGGATTGGGAATGAGCTCAACGCGCTGCTGCTTACAGCAGTGGTGCTTCAGCACGACGATGAAGCGAGACGACTCTGGCTTTGATATGAAACAACAAGATGGACAAGGGAAAAGAGCATTTAGATATTGTTGTATCAATTTGAGTTCTCTTTTCTTGCGGGGCAGGTTCGGGATTATTTAGCTGAAATTCAAGACGGACGGGAATGAGTGCAAGTGAGAAGATGATGTGCAAGATGATGCCAAAATCACACCTGGTTCCGGAATCCCGTGATTGCAATACTGCCGCCGGCCTGTGCAGTCACGGTGTATAACAAATGATCACGGCGCTTCACGATCGCCAGTTATGAAATCATTTTACTTACATTAGAACATGCTTGCCCTGTTTGGTTACAGGAATTACAGGGCAAGACCATGAATTTTGACATGTGCTCCACATGGCAATAAGCCTCTTAGGCTTTCAAACAGAAAAGGCCATACTCCGCTACCTTCAGACATAAGTTGAATGTAGCGTAGAATAACAAACACGCGAATGCTAGAATTCAATCTGTCAAGGAAAGAGAACAGGCAACTCACACGACACGTCTGGCCGAGCGGAATCGAGCAGTTGCGACGCGGACAGTAGGACAGACGCACGAACGGCGGGAAGTAGCCCGGCGGCAATGGTTTCCACTCGAAGATGGGGAAACAGCTGGTGTAGCAGAAGAGGTAGAAAGCAGTGCCCTGAGAGGCACTAGCACCTGGCAGAATGGGAAGCGTAGCTTGGTAAGACCCGTCTAGCACTGGGCAACCTGCAGGTTCGGATAACTGGGAGAAACGAACAGGATAAAATATAGCACCAGCTGATTGTTCAGTAATTGGTGGTGTTAGTGGACATTATAGCGTAACTTGTAGTTCCTCGGTCCTTTTCTTTTCTATAACATATAGAGAATAGGAAAAAAAGAATATTCGAACTTTCACAGGAAAGAACAAGAAAAAGGTTGCAATACAGATGAACAAGGGAAAGCACCCAACTTGACGGCTACGAATAAACTTATCGACAAAGAGACAGGCACACACAAGCACACGTGCAAGTAGCCACAGAGACACACAGGCATGCATAAACATACACGCGTGCACACACACTCTCTCTCTCTCTCTGCCTCTTTCACACACACACACAGACAGACACACACACAGACACACACACGCGCACGCGTGCGCACACACAGACATACAGGGTAAACACGGCAAAATGTCTAACTGCTCAAGGCAGGTACCTACTCAACAGCACTCCACAGCTTTACCTAACATCGGGTGCATCCGAAACATACCGATCTATGTCTCTCTGTTACTAGCTTTATGTAAGCAATAAAGTAGAGACAGATCTATATATTGCACCAGATCATAAACACACAGACACTCCATATCAGCACCGTTAACAGAATATGCCACTCACAATGTCAGGCCGCAAGATGCTTGTGTTCTCCAGCTCCACGTCAATGAATCTCTGCAGGAGATCGACGTCGTCCAGCCGGGTGGCATTCTCCGGTATGTTGCTGTCCTCCAGCGGCGTCCGTAGGCCATTCGGGTCTGGGTTACCGAGTCGTGTGAAGTATGATTGCGGTGGTGCTTGAGGTGGCGGTGCGTCGCTTGTTGCTGGTTGCGGCTCGGCCCTGCGCGGAGCAAACACACAGAAAGAGGTATAATGCTGTTGTGGCGGCTTTCAGTAAGTATCAGTGCACGAAATCCCACCTGCATAAATTTGATGAAGTTGAAGGCGGGACGAAAAAAAACTGTCACCACAAGAGGTCAAACCTAGGACACTCGCATATGGCCATCGATGCTCCACCACTTTTAGAGATTCCGAAGATAACAATTATTATTTTGGGCAACATCCTCCCTCCCTGAGGAAAAAAAGCAGGAATGAAAGATGCATCAGAGTGCTGGTGCATGGACTTTGTGCTCAACCAACGCATATGCATGTGCGGGCACACAGACACCGGGAAAGATGCATTACCAAACCCACACAAACAGATCAATACCCCCCCCCCCCCACACACACACGCACTTGAACTTGCTCACTGCCATGACTGGCCATGCGAGTCCCCCCCCCCCCCCCACAAAAAAGGGGGAGAAAGAATAGATTCAAAAGGAATCCTGGAAGGATGACTCAATTGGCTATTGAACGGCCCAATGTTCGACACTTCTTGAAATCCACCAACTCTGGGTGGACTTGGAATTAATTGCATGTATGGGCTCACCACACCTCAGTAAGTGCAAGAGGACAAGGTGCAGAAAAGGGATTGACGGCAAGGTATCGGACCCGGGATCATCTAACTGCATTCCACCCTGCCCCTGGGTAGGTGATACTTGTTTACAAATGAACACAAAGACAGGCACACACACACACACACACACACACACACACACACACACACACACACACACACACACACACACACACACACACACACACACACACACACACACACACACACACACACACACACACACACACACACACACACACACACACACACACACACACACACACACACACACACACACACACATGGCCATCACGGAAGCATTGACAGCGAACAAGCTATAGTAGAATATAAATTCGTGCCTTAGTCACACCATTCACCTGCGTGCAAGACAGATACATCAAAAAATATAATCGTATACCTAGCTTTCACTACACAGCCACCACACAGCTGAATTGGCCCATTTCTGCAGAGAAAATTCTCTCTCGCCAACTCTGTGTAATTATACACTCCGGCATGCACTGGATGTTGATAGCCAAGCAGAAGTACAAAAGAAGAGCTATAGCCCGACCCATTGAGTCACAGGGGCGCAGTTCGCATATCTATGGCGTGGTGACTGTGTCACAGAATGAGCCAGAGCACATCTGCGGTGTGGTGACTACGCACGACTGGCAACCTCATTGCAATATCGCCCATCTCCACTACGTAGTACGTATGTTGGCCATTGTCGGTGTGGCGAACGGACTAGGCTGACTACACACGATCTACGCGCCTGAGTCAAACCGGCGAGTAGCTCGCCAGGGTACGCGCGGGAGTGCTGTGCAGGCCCAGACCTGTGAAAACAGAGATGTGGACTGGTGCAGGCTGCTAACTGGTGCACGGTGCTAACTTTCCTTCACTTCATCATTTTGCGAGAACCGTGGCAATAAGCCCAGTGAGAAGGCAGATTTTGCGTGTGCTTATAGTGAAGTGAAATAAAGCTAAACAAACAACTTGGCCAGGCTGCTAACATGAATCACGTCACTGGATTTTCATTGAACAGCACTGCATCATTTTAGAAGGAAGACATTTTAGGAGAAACATGCGTGCGACCGTTATTGGACAGGAATGGAGCGCGCCATAAATTTTAGATACCACTCCACTATATGACGCGCACCAACACCCACACGCCTATACACACCTGTACTGTGGCGTGAGAGCGGACACACGCACACACACGCGCGCACACACACACACATAATGTGCAATCCTGCACAAGTACCCCTCCACACATCCAACAAACACACACACACACATGCACGCTAAAACACATGGACACATTCACACGAAATCCCCCCCCCCCCCCCCGCACACATACAAACATATGTATGCACATTTTCATACACACACACTCACACACACACACACACACTCACACACACACACACACACACACACACACACCATGTACCATGTATACGCCCGTCGCAAGAGAAGCACGGAAATCTGCAAATGCACTGGATGTGCACCCACAGATTTTCTCTTATAGCAACGATAGCGAACAAGATCTGAATGAGACAGATCAAGACTTGCGCCATATAACTGTCTAATCCACACAACTGGCGAAGTCATGTGAATCGACCACCAATGCACACCAGGCCTACACCACACGGAGTACTTCGGTATAAAACGGCCAAGACAGTTACCCTACACCCTACACTTCCTGGGGTAACCAGTATAGACAGCACGCTGCTTTGATAGAAGCAGACACTAGATGCACTGGTACTCTGAAGTGAAATTGGAGTTACTTTACCAACAAGCCTCCGCTACTGAGTACTGGGAACCCAGAGCCAACAGAAATACCAACAACCTCAGCCATGAAAGCTATTCTAGTAACGACACACTGGATTGTGGAGCCGAAACTAGTCCTAACTCCAAATGCTTTGGCAAGAAGGTAGCCTTAGCCTTCCAACAGGTTGGCACCCCCCCCCCCCCCCCCCACACACACACACAGAGTCACTCTCGCATGAATGCATCCACGCACGCGCTCACACACTAACAAAAAGGGAAAGTATCACATTCTCTTGACACACAGTTGTTAGAAGGAGTTTTCAGCATCTGTAGGAACATCACCACCATGCAGAGACCTAACGCGCATATGCAGCTCCTACAGAGAAAGCAGCAGAGTAAACTCACTCGACGGGAATCTGGTAAGGTGGAATGGAGGAGCAAGAGTAGAGATTGGGGTACTGTGGCCCTTCGGAGTACGTTGGGTAACGCCAGTACTGAGCCGATGCGAGAGACACCAGAGACAGCAGGAACAATGGCATCAGAGACACCATCTTGATGTTCCCTAACAACAGTGGAAAGCAGAGTCAAAGGCGAAGAAGGAAAACAAAAGGACTATGAAGTGGATCACGGCGACTTAACCCATTGAGGGCTACAGGGCCTTTCATCTGAGACTCTGAAGAAAATGCTAAAAATATGGGCAATGTACAGCTCCACAACTTCATAGTCTAAGAAACTAGGTTGTTGAACTCTTGTGAAATGTTGACCAAGGCTATAATTATCACGCTGACCAACTCGATATAGTTCCTAGAAAGGGGAACAAAATGCTATATGACACGTAAGTTCATCCAAATTGCGTAAAATACGAAAAAGTCGCCAATTTGAGTTGAATCACCGGACGAAAAAGAAGAAAAAAAGTATCCAAGCGGGATTCGTACCCGCAACCTCTCGTACTGAATGCAGGAAATGTACCGCTCGACTCTTAGGTCTCTTGCAACCCTACGCTGGAACACGGAGCTTAGTACGGTAGAATAGCCTGTCAGCCCGAGTATATTCGGGCTCAGCGCCCTGACGTCATCCTGAATCCCGAATATATTCGGGCTCAGCAGTCAATGGGTTAACAACATAACCCAATGGCATCAGAGACACCATCTACAAGTTCCCTAACAATAGTGGAAAGCAGATCACAGACAAGGGAGGGGAAAACAAGATGACTATGAATCCGATTATGTGGTCTAACGTTGTACAGTCTTTGCCAGGCCAGTGATAGCAGTACTGTTCATTGCGTTTCAAGACAAACTACGTTCCGAATGGGATTTTGATCCTTGACCACTTTGGTGGTGGGTCTGATCATTTTACCTGCCACCGCTTCAGTAGCTGCATCTGCAGCTGCATGTGCACGTTTGGCGTTGTTTTGGTAATGTTCTTGTCGATGTCACCGAATTGGTGGTTTCAGGATCAAAATCGCAGTTCTTGTTGCCATTTCTGATGAATCGCAGTGGTTTACAGTAAACTTTCAGCTCTGTTTTTCTTTGCCTTCTTTGTTTTTATGCGGGATCACGTAAATGTACCAGCATAGAAAAATAGTGCCCTCTTGAATATTGCAACAACACTTGTGATGGGCACATTGAAAACAATAGTGCCCCAGGGCCAATAATCGCACAAGTACAGTATATCATAACGTTTTGATATATTAATTCAGTAGTAATCATGCTCATGGATGCAGCTAATGGGGCCGTTTTCGGCACTTGTGCCAGTGGTTGTGAGACTTGCCCACTCACCCCCACCGTTAGGCGCTGCATCTGCCGCTAGGGTTTATCGGGTGTTAGCGGCCGTCGTGAGTTCCCTTCGGGAACGGATACGATAATTTACTTAATCATGCTCGTTTGTAAACCACCACCCCCCCCCCTCATTTTTGGCCCTGAAGTTGAGTATAAAAGGTGCGACCTATATCCGGGGAAATACGGTACATAAGACGTTGGGGAGAGCAGTGTTCTCCTTGCTCAAACTACAGGCAAAATCAGTGTCCATGCGGCTACGCGGCCAAGTCGCATGTAAACGGCATGCACGCGACCTAAATGTCGCAGCCGGCCACGTTTCCAATCGTGACTGCGACCTCCGAAGGGTGGTGCCACGACTTGGCGGCAACATGACCGTAGACGTGAAGCGTATTTTGTGTACAACCTGGCCTGAACTGAGTCCAATTTCTCAATTTCCTGGTACAGTACGTTGATTCGCAATACTCGGTCGTACCCATTCTCCGAATTCGCACCAGTTGTGGTCCTAACACACTTCGCCTTCTTATGGATGAGGTCAATTTTGTTTTTAGTTGCTTTGTTGTCAGTTGATCGTGACCAATGGCTACAGTGTATTCGTTCAATGGCAGGTTGGTGCTGCTTTTCTGCGACGATGGAATGCCAACGCTCAAGAAATTTCAGTTCCATATCATCAGAAAATTCAGTCATCACCTCGGGAACAAGAAAAGAAACCACTACCGGCATTTTCACTGGCACTTGCTCTCACCACGCTGACAGGAAAGCGAAAGCGTTTGGGATCTCAGTCGCCCAAGAGTGCGAATCTATGAGTAGCTGTCGACTCCAAGAATACGAGCCACGAGACGCTTCCTCCAACACGCAACATGCGAAAAATTACATCCAAAAATGGACAACAACTTATTAGGAAACACACAAACTCCTTTTGGGTACGAACTGAAATTTGAAAAGGTTCTGCGACAACTTCATGTCAAGACGTGCACGAGGGCTTACGTGAGCACGACAGGCAAGTTTCTACATTATGCTGACACGTGGACGCTCGCTCATAGTCGCAGCGTGAGCACGCCCTAACTAAAGTGCCTAGCGGCAAAGGTGGGGTTGTAACTCTCACAAATAAGTGCAAGAAAAGGAACAACACCCCGTTATTGCTATGTACAATCACTCCGAGTAGTGAGTAACCAAATGACCATCATACGTACTGCATAGTCGAGATGGGAAAAATTGCAATGAGGTTGCCAGTGGTATATAGTCACCACACCACAGATGTATGTGACATAGTCATGACATCATAGATATGCGAACTGCGCCCCTGCGACTCACCGGGTTAGCTTAATTGAGCTGTGCTATAGCTCTTCTTTGGTCCTTCCAGTTGACTGCGAATGTCTTTGAATTACATACAATATTCGCTTTGCTCTATTTTGTGGTAGCATTTATCCTAGCTACAATGTGCTGAACAATGATATCGCTGTTAGAAGGTACCATAATAGGCTAAGTCCAAAATATTTCGCGAAGTATGTACGTATACGTTATTTTTTTGAGCATTTCACCATTCCTAGAGGCTCCAGGCAGGATTATATTTGTTTCCAGTCACACCTGAATCTACAGTAACGCAAACAAAACAACTATTACATTGGTGTTGTGTTTGTTTGGGATTCGATTTCATTTCAAGATCAGGGCACTATCCACTTGATAAAAAAATGAACATAATTACAATGTTCTGAATCAGACTGCCCTGTTGTTCACGTCATGTTTAGGGTCGCATTTTGGCATAGGAATACATGTGGGTTACTGTGCGTATACTCATGATGAAAGTTTTAATTTTTGCCTTTTCGCCAATGAATTTTCCTAAAAAAATAACTACAGCAAGTGCCAACACCTGTTCCTTCAAGCAATGCAAAAATACTTTAGGCAACACACCAACGATGATTTTCAGGTGGTTGAAGTGGATGGGGATTGGACCATTGTCACCAAAAGCAGCATTTTGTGTACTGCTAGTGCACATTGTGAAATACATTCAGAAACAAATTGAGTTTACCGGTATTTTCAAATTTTCACTAAAAATAATATTAAATTTTGTAGAAGAAAAAATGGACCAAGGAACTACAAGTTAGTTAAGCTTTAATGTCGATAACATTGCACGACACTGACCGACGGTAGCTGATTGTTTAGTAACTGGTGGTGTTAGCGGACATTATAGCGTAACTTGTAGTTCCTTGGTCCATTTTTTCTTCTACAAAAATAATACTGCAATAATTATTATTCTCTTCCAATGCGAGCCCACTGACTCGCAAATACCATCCTCTATCAGATCTGGCAATGCAGACTCGAACACTAGCTGTGAACTTGAAGTGAATTGCACGTTGTGCTATCCAAGGTCACAAGCATTCGCTTACTTTGAATTGGGCTTTCTTCGATTTCCAACTTGATCCAAGATCACGCTCGGTTCGCGCTGTACGAGCGCCGAAAATCTCAAACCTTGATTCTTCCGCGACGGGCAGGAAATAGCCCTTTGTGCTGGACGCTGGGCGATAGGAGCACCCGCTTCATTCTTTCAGCGATAGTGTGCGGCCTGCACGAATCCATTGCAATGCCTTCATAAAGGCACCGTATAATCAGCTGTTGCAAAATCTTGCCTGTCCGCCATCAGTACCACATGGACCAAGCGCAAGGCTGACAGCAAGCGTAGCATGCAGGACACAGGCTACGAAGCTTCGGACCGCTTCAAACGTTTCAGACCTGCAGTGGCTGGCAAGACAGGCAGCCGGCAAGGCTTCGCTCAAGACAAGCTCGCTGACAAACAACTCGGCAGTCGCCTGTCTGACGGCCTGTTCTTGAATCTTGGTCAGAAAGCACTGCAGTCTTTGTGTCGATTGACTATTTTTTTTCTTTCTTTTTCAATAAAAACAGCCGGAGTAGAGTATTAGTACGTATGGTGCTTTCACAGTAATTCACACAAAGCACATTATTAATTTTTAGCGGCAGTGGCCAGTGGCCATGTAATCATGGTAATGGTGCATTTGGTGGCGGTAGAGAGAGAGAGAGAGGGGAGATATACTACATGTATCTATCGTAGTATCGAATCTGTTCGATTATGCCCGCAAATCGATTCATGAGTCGATTCGCGCACATGTGTGAACGGATTTCGGATCGATTCCAGGGCTCATGACATGGAATGGAACGCCGAGATTCCATTCAATTCATGATTCGATTCTGCACACATACAAGTACAAATTTTCGTTCACGAAATTTTCCGTTAAAATTAGATCACTCCACCAGCAGGTTCGGTTGCGTTTGCATGAAATTTCGTTTGATACAAACTAACTAACTAATTACTTTAGTTATTTCGTGCCCCCTACTGCTACAGCTCTGGTCAAAGGAATCCTACATCATGAATAGAGTAGCACGGCTTTCGAGTGCTCAGGATAGTCACGGGGTGTGGTGCTAGGGTAGTGTAGAGTCCGGTTTCTTTTAATTCTGTTGGTCGAATTTCATTGTCCCAGCCGGTGATAATCATAAACAAATATTAAAAATTACTATGATCTTGATTTCGTAGTACGCGTAGAATGTGTATGCAGACTTCTTGCGTGCCAGGTACTGTACTGATAAGGGTGACCAAACTACTTGCCAGGGTTAGGTGTAAGACAGGTTCTTCAAGCTGTCCACAAGTGGAGAATGTGTCTGTTTCTTGCTTCGGCAATGATGGACACACCGCACCACTGCAATACTTAGAGGGGATGCAAAAACGAGTTACGTCTTCGCCATAAATGACTGATTTTGCTTCTAGAAGGAAAATTAATTTAGAGAGAAAAGTGAGAGAATGATTGAGAGAGAGAGTGAGAGAGAGACAAAATAGTGAGTGACAAAGGCAACCTGCACTCAAAGGGCCAAATTCGACATCCCACGAGGGATTGGAATAAGTGTGCATCTGGATCAGTGACTTGAGCCTGCTAGCGCTACGCGCAAAACAATCATACAAACGCAGTGCAGAAGATGCGGGTAAAGCACATCTTCTTGCAGATTATTATACGGAACAGGTGTATGTTAATTATTGAGGGATGAATGTCAAGAATGACCAAGATAGCCAGAGATGTTACACAGGGATTTGTGAACAATGATCAAAAAGCACAAAATCATAATAGTCCTCTCTGCAAGTTCAATATCGAAGAGAGTGTTACAAACAAGCTCTGCTTGACCCGGTATGAGTGCCATCAGCCCATGCAATGCAGGATTGTGGTGGCCAGCTATTGAAGTCCACTGTCACACAGGTACCCGACTGAAATCGACGGCCCAGGACTGGCTGCTTTCCATCATCTCCATGAAGACTCAACCCCGCGTCACTGTACTGACGGATCCACTTCTTGAGCAAATGACGCTTGAAGCCCACAGTCTTAGCGTATTCCTGAAGATCCTCCCAGAATGGATTCCGCATGAAGTACCTACTCACTTCGTCCATGGTAGCTGGCTTGCAAAAACCGGTGGCAGTAGATATGGTTTTGGCTACCGAGATTGGCGCACCTAGCGGCTTTGAGTACTCAGGAAACCAATGTAGCCAGCCGGACTCAAGACTGAAACCACTCGTGCAGCCATAGTATGCATACTGTCCTGCTCCGACCAGATAAGCTGCGAGTGTCGTGTTGAAAACGGTCACGTTACACGGCTCGGCATGCACCTCTGCGATGTGCGGGAACGTGGACTCGTGTTGCAGAGTAACAATGTCAGCATATGGAGTATTGCGGTCGGTATCATCCAAGAAGAACTTCTCAAACATACGTCCGTTCACAGTTTCATAATCCTTGCAATTCGAAACAGCAAGGAAGTTCGAACCAAAGGTGGTGTTGATCTCATTCATTAGCTTTCGATGCCCCTCCAGATAGGCCTGGAAGTCGCTCGCATCCACATACTTGAATTGGGGCTGTCTCTCAATCGGATCTAACCCCTTGTCGACAAACGCCCCGTCAATCCATCCAGAGCGACTGGCGTTCCTCAGAACGTCAAGCCAAACTTTATGAACTGCCTCGTTTCTCAGGTCGAACAGATTCTCGTCGCGGATTTGAACGGGCTGTCCGCGGGAATCATGCAGCCACATCAATTGTGGATGCTGCTCACAATACTGGTGTAAATCATACATCTTCCAGTCCATCTGGCTGTTCAAATAAAACAGCACTTTGATGGTGGAGTTGTACTCTTTCACTTGCCTTGCACCGGCCAATATCTTCTTTTCCGCTCCAGTATGCAACGGTGGGGTCTGACCACTCATGCCTTTTTCGATCGTGACTAGCGGGAAGCGATTGATGAAGGCCAGGGTGCTGGCGTTGAAAGGCTCGGAGCCCCATGCGTGCCAGAAAACAGGCAATGTTGCCCAACTGAAGCGAGGAAAACCTTCCGGGGCTGAATTAGCAAGCGATTGTCGTGAAACAACACCTACAATCAGTAATGCCAGTACGAAAGACCGCCACATTGTGGCGAAGGAAGCCGTTCTTGGGTCTTTGAAAGCGTAAACTTCCTTTCGTCAAAATGTAATGCCTGCGAAGCTTCGATTGGAAAGTACCAAACAGTCACAAGGTCTGCTGCTCATTCCACCAACACGCAACAGCAAGGGGCAGAGCGTGTAGATTACCAGGGAGATCCTAGAGGTCTACGGGGAGAGGTCTACTCTTTTCGCTGATTTTTATTTTACGCGCACGCGACTCCAAGAAGAAACTATGTCTATGAGCTATGGACCAGTGTCAGTCTGTCATCTGACCTGCACGTGCTGTGCTGCACAAAGAAGCCCAATCCAGTTTTGTTTTTGAAGCTCTCATCCGGACATCCCACTAGTGCTGGCAGGTCTTGATCAGATTTCATTGAGCAGCATTGTGGGGGTTGTGAATATTCAAATAATTATTTGTTTTCTTGCAAGGATGTCTTGTTGGCTCGGCTGGTCAAGCTGGTGCTGGAAAAAGAAGATAACTGGTCATGCATTTGAATCAAAGCCAAAACCTACATGTACGTACAGCGGGAGAACATTCGAATTAGTCACTTATCTGCACTTTCACGTACGAACTCGTTTTATGCATACTACCAGTGATCGGATCTCTTTTTGCAGAGGAAAAATGTATCAAAAATTGAAAATTGGAATAAATATAGCTCTGGTGTGTCATAACGGACAATACGAACAGCGCTGGCGTTAACATTACAGTAAAGCAAGATGTTGAAGAGCCAACAGAAGGAAAATCACTAACCAAACAAAATCAAAAAAAATTGAATTGTTTCATTTTAATTGTTTATACATGGTTATGAGTGCACAATTGATATTTTTCATTGCTATGTTACAAACAAAATCAATTGTTTTTATAAAAGGCTCTAGAGTCAGGGTGAGCCCGAATAAATGAGTAGTAATTGCTTATGCTAAGTTATGATTACTGACATTATTTAAAAACAGCTGCCGGTCTTTGCCAGTACAGTAATGTTTGTGTGGGCCCTTTTACCTACGGTTTTCTCTTCTTCCTTTTTTGTGTTCCAATAGATTTTTACCTTTCCATTTTGTTCTCCAATTGGTTTACTGGCATTTAAATTGATTTTTGTGTTGCAATAATTATACCCAACTCGCAACTCACAAACAATCCTTGGCTACACCATGTACAGTTGAAATTGTCCAAATGTTTACCCAGGAGGGCACCATCAGGGGTGAGGCAAAGTAGTTTATCGAATTTGAATTTGTTTTGTAGATATGTGCAATTTATTTTAACCATACAAGATGCTTGATTACCGTCAATATCAGTGCATTGATAACAGGTTATCACAGCTGTTGTGATGCTGAATTCAGAAACACCTGCTGTTGCGACAGCGGAATACAGAGACTTGTGAGGAAAAAAAGATGGCCAAGCAATAAGAGAGTTCTCAATGGCTCCCATACCACAGTGCAATGCACAAATAAACTATTATAGTGTCTATCAATGCAAGGTCCTTATCCCTCGGAGTGTTACAAACAAGCTCTGCTTGACCCAGTATGAGTGCCATCAGCCCATGCAATGCAGGATTGTGGTGGCCAGCTATTGAAGTCCACTGTCACACAGGTACCCGACTGAAATCGACGGCCCAGGACTGGCTGCTTTCCATCATCTCCATGAAGACTCAACCCCGCTTCACGGTACTGACGAATCCACTTCTTGAGCAAATGACGCTTGAAGCCCACAGTCTTAGCGTATTCCTGAAGATCCTCCCAGAATGGATTCCGGACGAAGTAGCTACTCACTTCGTCCATGGTAGCTGGCTTGCAAAAACCAGTGGCAGTAGATATGGTTTTGGCCACCGAGAGTGGCGCACCGAGCGGCTTTGAGTACTCAGGAAACCAACGTAGCCAGCCGGACTCAAGACTGAAACCACTCGTGCAGCCATAGTATGCATACTGTCCTGCTCCGATCAGATAGCCTGCGAGTGTCGTGTTGAACACGGTCACGTTACACGGCTCGGCATGCACCTCTGCGATGTGCGGGAACGTGGACTCGTGTTGCAGAGTAACAATGTCAGCGTATGGAGTATTGCGGTCGTAATCATCCAAGAAGAACTTCTCAAACATACGTCCATTCACAGTATCATAATCCTTGCCATTCGAAACAGCAAGGAAGTTCGAACCAAAGGTGGTGTTGATCTCATTCATTAGCTTCTGATGCCCCTCCAGATAAGCTTGGAAGACTTGTGCATCAACATATTTGAATGGGGACTGTCTCTCGATTGGATCACCTCCTCTGTCGACGAACGCCCCATCAATCCATCCAGAGCGACTGGCGTTCCTCAGAA